GTGAGGTAAGGAACTGTGAGCAAGTCCTCCAGAGCGCTTGTAGCTCTTTCCCAGACAGCTGCTCTTTCTTCAAACAGTGATGAGGACAGAGGAGAGTTACCACCTGAGGTGAGAGGCTGGGAAATTTGCATTTTAGCAGTGAAGAGATAAAACTTTTCCCGATTCAGGAAAATTAATTTACAAATGTCTCCCTCTTCAGTGAGAGCTTAGGAAACCTCCTGGAAGGGTCTTACTTGTTCCCAAAAGGGGTCTGTGTCACTTCTGAGCTTTCCCAGTGGATGAACTCTATTATTAAAGATTTCTGTCTTCCATACACCTCAAATCAAGATTTTAACTTAACTTCTCCTGCATTTTTCAAGTTCCAATCCTACAAATTCAAACTCCTCTACTCTTTGTCCTGCCAGAATCTTAAACGCAAGTGATCAAACACATATATATGTATATAAATATATACGTGCGTTTATTTCATATATATGTACACATACACACACACACCTAAAACCTTCAGTTTCCTTCCCTAATAAAATCCTTTCTCTAGGTTTTCCTGCTCTTATGACTTACATGCCATCTTCCCAGACATCCAGGTTTGATAACCTATTCAGCTTCTTTCCCATCTTCACAGCCTCTCATCCAGTCATCTATTGAGACAGCAGACTGTCTGAGTGACCTTCTCTCTGTCTCCATGAGAGCTGAACAGCCACAGGCTAGTCCTCACCTCCTCCCTGGGCTACTGTCATAGCCTTCCCTATCTTCATTCTACGCTCACTGGGATTAATTCTTTCTTCTGGATCCTTGTGCTAAGCACATGCAGAGAAATGAGACACAGTCCCTGCCTCAACACACTCACATTTTCTCCTCTCGCATTATATTTTTCCTATAGCAAAATATAGGAACCTTCTGGCTACAGAATTAAGTGGGAAGTTCTCAGTCTAATATCTAAGTCTCCATAATGTGATCCCAGAGTAACCCTCCAAATTTCTCTCTTCTCTCACAATATTCTAATATAATCATTATTTTTACCATCACCAATAAGTACACTAAAACATGACAAAGTACAGTGATTTAAAAATAGACAGAGGTAACACTTCGAGTGTTATAGTTTTAATAGTGCAAGAAATTTCATCTGGTCAGTAAAATTTTATTTATTCCATGCAAGGTACATTCCCTCTGAGAAAGATAGCAAGCAGCCCCTAGTGCCCAGAACTGATTTCACAGAATACCAAAGTTACTCTGAGATCATGATAATCTGAAACAAAATAAGACCACTTCAGAGTTTTGTCTAAGTAGAGAATAAAAACAAGGTCACTGTCCCATTTACAAACCCCTTGACCTTTACCACTTTCTGATAGTATCTAAATTTAAGCAAACCCCTGCTTCCAGTCACCCAAGAAAAGCCCAAGTGCTGCAGAAGGTTCTCTCGGGCACACCTGTTGAGATGGTTCCTCAGTGTGTGTTCCCCCTGGCCACAAGTAATCCTCCAAATTTGTTCCACAGGTGGGCTTTGGCTGAAGGTCATTCACACTTCACTGCTCTGAATGATCAGGACAACTATATTTGTTTGGAAATTTTAGGATTGGGTAAGAGAAACAGTATTATTTTCTGCTATATCAGGAATATTAATGTAACTTTTTGAAGAACCCCCCAGAGCATACTACTAAAGAGATATTCTCTAGGGAAAAACCCTTTAGTTACATTTGATGTTTAAAAAACAGTAATTTTCTAAAACATCTGTAGAAATGTTTTGTAATTACCTAAGAAAAGTTAGAATGTTCCAGCAAATAAAGGCCTAATAAATCATCACTCAGCTAGCAGAGACTAAAAGTGGAACAATTTCTATCACCTTATAGAAGCTGGCTGATTTCTTCTGAGTTTCAAGAAGGGTGTTTAAATGCCCCAGATGCCACAGGGATTCTGAAGAACAAGCACTTGGGTTACCTGCAATCTTCCCAAAGCTGAACCAGATTTTAAAAAATTACCTACACTAACCTTGGGGAATTTTTTAAATATATGATTTGATAGCCAAAACCACCACCTAACAAACTACATGTTCCCAAAGAAGAGTCCCAATGCATCTTCCCATCCCCATTATCAACATCTTATTTAAATATGTTGGGTTCTTGCTAAAAAAAGAATATGTAGAATCAAGTGTAACTTTTTAAAAGAGAAAATAAAATCTTTATTATAGTAAATGGTTTCCAAAATAATTTATTTTAAATGAATCCATCAAAGTCCAGAACGTAAAAATCAGAGAATAAACTTGATATTTAATATTAATAATAATTAGCATTCCATTCATTAAATAAATATATGTAACTATTTCTTTAAATAAATACAACTACTTTCTCAGTACTTCCTAGATAAAATTTTAAATTCTGTCTTTAAAAGAATTTTAACATTAACTTCAACTATTTCTCTAGACAAACATGTGTTCCTGCAAAAATCATGTACTTACTATTGCCCAACCGTATATATATCTCCCATTTCATTCTGCGAAACCTCTCTGAGTCCTTCAAGGCTCCTCAGTGCACTTTTGGAGGAAGGAATCTTAGACTAAAGTCTGCAGTCTGAAGTTAATAGTCCTATTTCAGCCACTAATTATGGAAACTTAAATATGCCATTTAATATCCCTTATCTATAAAACAAAGGTATTCAGCCAGGTGATTCCTGTAGTAAAGGGTAACAAGGAAGCATAAAGTCTGGTTTGCTAGGTGCCTTAGGCTGAAAATGTGACCTTCACTTCACCCAAGATCAGAGTGAAACTAACTCAGGAAATATTCAGGAATGTCTTTGCACCGTTGAGTGGTGAGCAGGCTTACAAAAATAATAGCCAGTTTGCAGAACAGTGAAGTTGAGGTAACCAGAAATGGTATAAAAACTCCCAGGAGAATGGAAAATGGAACTTCTCATACTTACTGAAACCACCAATATACTTAGTAACAATGTTAGAAGACACAAACATCCATGTGAAGATACGGGAGAAACCTGGAAAGCCCAAAGCTCCGAATAAAAACAAGGAGCATGGTCTTTCATTTTGCAATTGTTTCTAAATAGGTAAGCTGCTATTACAGGGAATTAAGAAATGGAAAGAACTACTCGGGACTCTAGTTGAAAGTCAGTGGACACTTACAAACTTTACCCTGTTCTTTCTTTATCTAAGCTTTGAAATGTCACAAATTGGGAGTTTAAACTGCTCATTCAAAATAAAGGGTGAAATAAAGAGCTTCCCAGACCAAAAAAAGGCTAAAGGAGTTTATCACCACCAAACCAGCATTGCAGGAAATGTTAAAGGGACTGCTGTAATTAGAAGTAGGAAGAGAAAGAGAAACATAGGCATAAAGAATTAAAATGGTAAGTACCTACCAATAATAACCTTAAATATAAATGGATTAAATGCTCTAATCAAAGGACTTAGGGTAGCTGAATGGATAAGAAAACTTGACCCAAATATATGCTGTCTACAAGAGATACACCTCAGAACAAAAGACTCACACAGGCTGGAAAAAAAACAACCACAAAACTTCTGTAGGACTTTAAAGGAGAGATTGACAGCAATACAATCATAGTAGGGGACTTTAACACTCCACTGACTTCAATGGACAGATCTTCCAGACAAAAAATCAACAAGGAAGCAGTGACTCTAAATGACATGCTAGATCAGATGGATATAATTGGCATTTACAGAACATTCCACTCCAAAGCTGCAGAATATACATTCTTCTCAAGTGCACATGGGACATTATCAAAGATAGACCACATGTTAGGACCCAAAACAAGTCTCTACAAGTTCAAGAAGATCGAAATCGTATCAAGCATCTTCTCGGACATTTACACCATGGAATACTATGCAGGTGTAACAAAGAATGACCCCTTACCCTTTGAGAGAGCATGGTGGGACCTGGAGAGCATTATGCTAAGTGAAATAAGCCAGTCAGAGAAAGACAAGCGTCACATGATCTCACTCATATGTGGAATCTAATGAACAAAATAAATCTATGAAGAAAATAGATCCAGAGACATAGAAGCATGGAACGGACTGAGGATCTCAGGGAAGGTAGAGGGGGAGGTGGGTGGGGAGAGATTAACCTAAGAACATATATACACATATGCATAACCCACAGACAGGATACAGACAATAGTGTGGGGAAGGCCTGGGGGGAGGTGCAGGGTGGAGGGGATCCACGGGAGGTAAAAGGGGACATCTGTAATACTTTCAACAATAAAGATAAATTAAAACATAAAAATAATAATAAAACAAGGCAAAAGGAGAGTCAGGCCAAGGCGGGCTCGTCAGGTATCCTCTTAACAGGAAGCATCAATTCTCAGCATGAAACAGGATGGTGATGACTGACAGCCATAGGATGAGTTCCTGGGTCAGACACAACCTGAACTAAGTTCAGAAAACTCAGGCTAAATGATGGGCAGTGCATTTTAGTACAAAATATGTTTTGAGATATTAAATTTTTGAAAAGCAACAAAGCAGCACAGGCTGCATGGTTATTTTCTACTGTTTAGAACAAACCATTCCCTAACCATGTCTAAAACTTAACCATTACTGCCCATTTCCTAATGCGTTTATACTTCCTAACAGCCTCAACATTTGAGAAATTATAATAAAATCTATTTGAAAAATTTCAACAAAAAATATGGGGCATCATACATTTTCAGGGTCCTATCTGCTAAAGATGGGTCTGTGTTCTGGACTTCTGTTTCTCTAAGGGCATGGGGAAGTAATACTCTCAGAAATACAGGCAAAGGAGGCTAGGCAGTCAAATAAAATGGGTTACAATATGCAGAATGGAAAAGCTAGTAAGTGAATATTCCCTTATATAAGACACACAAGAGGAGCTTTAGAAAGCACACAAACACAAGAAAAAGACAACTTAAAAAAAATTAACAGCCATGGAAGATTCAAAATTTTTAGAGATTAGAGTAAAAAAGGTGGAACAAAACATCAAAATAGTAAATGACAAGAGAAGGAGTTAAGGGCATATGTTACTTACAGGAGTTCTTCTCCAGGGTGTTTGGGTATATTTATTGGCATATGTGCATTTTTCCTCTTTAGATTTTTGATGGCAATTACATCGATTTGCCTGGACAAAAACACAAATTTTTATACTGGTATAATTTTTCACACACCTATACATATACAAACAAAGTAATTAGGGTCTCAGAGGGTGAAAAAAGGGCAAACATCAATATCTAGTAGGTAGTCTCCTGTCCTATTCAGAGATTGGGTTCTAGAGTCAGCCAGAAATGCTACAATTTTGAATACTTAAAATTACCTTTGGCAATCTCTTATATTATCCATAAAACACACTGCCTATTGTTTTATACATATAAACATACACAGTGCTATGTATACAGATGTGGAATATACATGACACCACACAGTATATAAAGGATACAACAGTAAGATTTTAGGTATTTCCCTAAACTATTTGGTACCACAGTAACTGCAGCACAATTTCTTAAACTCATTTTTTATTGGACTCTACTGGATATTAAATACCAGTCCACAAGTAAGATTGTCTTTTCACGTGTCCAGTGCTTTTAAGCTTCTTTAATGATGTGCTGAGTTTATTAAACTGGAATATTTTGAAAGATCTCTGCTCTTGACAGGACCTATCTGAGCATCTCAGTTCACAAATGAATTCTCTACACGATTCCACTCAAAGCATACTCATTTAGTCATTAATACAACACAAAGTAACGTATCTATTATGTAAACTTTGGTCTTTCCAATAAATATCAAAAAAAAAATTTTTTTAATGAAAAGACTGAGAATGAGAATTTCTCCTTAGTGTGAAGTGGAATATAACCATATTATTTGTTAAATAATTCCAATAGAGGTAAATATACTTTCTTGTAGGGACACCTATGTAACAAATTCTTGATTACTGCATCAAGCTAAAAGTATAAGTTTCTACTTTAAAAACAATTATCAATATTCAAAATTTATCTTAATTACAACTGGATCGTCCCAATTTCCGTATACAAAACAAAATCTAATTAAAACCAAAAATCTCTGTAAGTAGTAACATATTTTCCATTTCTTGTAGTACAGACATATTTCTAATTCCTAAGAAATGGGACACTGAAACAAAATTCAATATATAGTTGACTACTGAACAATGCGGGGTTTAGGTGTGCCAACCCCCTGCACAGATGACAATCTGCGTATAACTTTTGACTCCCCCAAACTTCACTAATAGTCTACTGTTGACCAGAAGCCTTAATGATAACATAAAGAGTTGATTAACACATATTTTATGTTACATGTATTATATACTGTATTCTTACAATAAAGCTACAGGGAAAAAAAACATTAAAAAATCATAAGGAAGAGAAAATACATGTACAGTACTATACGTATTTACTGAAAAAACAAACTGCGTATACGTGGACCTGTACAGTTCAGTCCCGTGGTACAGTTCAGGAGTCAATTTACAGTCTCTTGGACTCACTATAATAGGACTGAACTTTCCACATGTATAGAAGTGTAAAGAAGAGAAAACATAATGTAAAGCATTTATCTTAACACAAGGACATAACTTAGACTAATCTATCTTGACTAGTGCAATTCCTGAAAATAATTTCCTTTCCATGTCTATGTGCTATCCTATGAAGAGTAACATTTGGCAAATATGTGAGTTTTCCATAATTTGGAAAACCTAGTTTTTAGTGATATGCTTCTGACTTCCAACAAATATTTTCCTTGGCTTGTTGGTATTTTTATGCCATTATGTTCTTGTTATCCTGGCCTTTTATATTATTACAAACAAAATTATATTTAACTTCAAGACAGTGTATATATTTTTTTCATAGGGAACTATATTTGAAATTGTAAGCACTATAAAATTATATTCTATTCAACATCATCCATGGAGAAGCATTTTCTTAGAATGCTCTTCATTTCTCTGACAGATGAGTCCCTGAGTCTGACCTTTTCTTCTGCTGTCAGAGAAAAATGCCCAGTGCTCAACTCACCAGCACCCATTTCTTTAAAAACACATGAAGAAAAAACATTTACCCTTTATCAATAAAATGACTCAGATGGGTGAATTTCAAAGCCCCAAACATAGGGCCCTGAAAATGAATGAACAAGGATTTTCTTTTCACCTTGGATATTTACTATTAGCCTGTAAGTTAAACCACACTGTAGAATGCAAATAACCTAAAAATAATATAACACTGAACTCTGAATGCTAAAAATCAAGTCAAATTTCAACTCTGGCTGTAGTTTTATACTGCCCAGTCTAAAGTCGTCACTTCACATGCTGCACTATATAGTACTTACAAGCTGATGTTCTAATAGTTGGATTTTTTCATCTTTTTTCTTTATTTCCTCTTTAAGTTGTTTTATTTGATTTAATAAATCTTCATTCTGAAACATTGCAAAAAATTTAACATGAAGTATTTAACTGCATTTAAAACACTGTAATGAGAAACATTATATAAATTATGAAGACTGAGCAATGAATGACTTGTTCATCCGAGGGGAAAATTCTTAAATATGCCAGCTATTAACCTATAAAAAACAACAAAAAACAAAAATCACGTTTTAGTGTTCTATGAATTCATAGTGTAATGGAGTTTGACATGTAAACAATGAACAACAGCAGCAACAGCGAACATTCACTGAGTATTTAAGAGGTGCCAAGAACTAAGTACTTTTAAGTATCAAAGTATTTTATCCTGAATATAACCCTGAGATAGGTACTATTATCCCCATTTTACAGACAAGGAAACAACAAATTACATATAAAACTGTAACTCCAGCTGAATTTCAAGAGATGTGTAAGAGGTGCCTGCTGCCATTGAAAATGAAGGGGACAACGAGCAGAGGAACAGCATAATTAAAGGAAGAGTCATTTTATGGCTTGTTCAGAAATCAGCAGAGCCCTGGCCAGCGTAGCTCAGTTGGCTGGGCTTGTAATCCTGTGAACCAAGAGGTCCCTGGTGTGGTTCCTGGTCAGGGCACATGCCCGGGTTGCAGGCTCGGTCCCCAGTAGGGGTTGTGCAGGGGGCAGCCGATCAATGTTTCACTCTCTCTTCCCCTCTCCCTTCCTCCCTCTCTAAAAATCAATATAAAATCTTTAAAATATATACATACATACATACATACATATATATATATATATCAGCAGAAAGATAAATGTGCCTGAAGAGTAACAAGGGAGTTATTTTTTGAGGAGCCACTTTTCTGAAATAACAAGGGAGATGCTTTTCGAGAAGCCACTTTTCTGAAAACTGCTTGAATCAACTTAATCTATAAGAAATTCCTAATAGTATTAAACAGAAATCTATTGTCAAGTTAAGCAGGAATCCAGTTACATTTCCAAGTATAAAGTATCATTATCCTATAGTTAGCATATTTTGTTTTCTACTACTATTCAATTATCCAAAAATATATACTGAGGAAGTAGCGCAAGCAAGGATATTAGAATATATATGTGAATAATACTATCACCTTTCAGAGAGAAATATATGTAAGCAAATAACTATAACGTGCTGTTACTGAGCAGAGCATGCCATCTCCTTCAGATGTGCTGGGAACAGAAAGAACTACAGTTGTTTTTTAATCCTCACCGAGGATATTTTTTCCATTGCTTTTCAGAGAGAGTGGAAGGAAGAAAGAGG